CTTATACTCTGGAGGAAACCAGAAAACCGTCTAGCCCAGTTCAAGAATAAGCCTGTGGAAAGTTATTTCTTCAAAAACAAAAGTATCTCATATCATATCATCTTTCTCCATTTGCTTCTCCTCCTTATCCTTGTTGCTGTGTACGTACACAAGGAGAAGGAAGACAATCAACGGGAATCAACCGAAGCCGAAGTCGAACTCTCCAATCCAGGTTGCTTACTTGGAAGTCTGATTGCTTACCTTGTATGTTACCTCTTTCGGCAAATCTCCTAGCTCGGCGACTTGGGGGACTCCTACTATAAGGTTTGTATCGCACTTGACCAAGCCTGAAACTACAAGTAAGCTTCAAGTGAAATTGATACATTACCTTGTGCATCTTCATCGGTTAAAGATACCACCCTTGGATGGAGGAAAAGTACTTCCAGAGAAGATGCCACATCTACATATGAGACAGATAAGGCAAGTGAAAATGATACCACACTTCGGTACTTAGAAGTTTTGTGATTACTCAATGGCTTGGATCTTGCAAGTCCCTAATCGAGGAGCTTCCCTCACTCGTGAACTTAGGGAAGCACTGTTTGTACCATACTTGACCAATCCCGAAACTACTGAGCACCGGTCAACGTTATACCGTCAAAGACCCAGAAGAGTTTCCCTCCAACCAGGAAGCCAATCACAGCGCGACACGTGTCGACATCAGAAGCCAATTATAGCGCGACGTGTCAACATCAGAAGCCAATCACAACACAACACGTGTCAATGTCAGAATGAAACTAGAAACTCTCTTCTATAAATAGAAATCATTCTCTCACAATATTTCCTAATGTCATTTGTACTAAATCATTCACTAATACTCACTAAAGGAGAGCTTAAACCTATGTACTTGTGTAAACCCTTAACAATTAATGAGAACTCCTCTACTCCGTGAACATAGCCAATTTGGGTGAACCACGTACATCTTATGTTTGCTTCCCTGTCCCTATTCATTTACATACTTATCCACACTAGTGACTGGAGCAATCTAGCGAAGGTCACAAACTTAACATTTTCTGTTGTACCAAAGTCCTCACTGATTTTGTGCATCAACATACACAAAAAGAGAAATAGCTCATTTATGTCCGTTATTCAAAAGGCCACTGCCAATGATGTGCCCAACAAACCACCAACCCAAGTTATTTTCCTTTCGATTCTTCCACGACATTATCCTGGTTTATCTTTAGCGCAAGCTAAATAAATAAACAGAATAAGTAACCTCTAGCATGAAATGATTTACTAAGCGAGCGAAACGAACTAAGAACGGAACACTACAGACACTATCAATTTAAGGTAAGATACTAAGCAGACCGTAAAGCCTAGAATACGATCGAGTTTGATGAAGAGGAGTCTAAAGATGCAATCTTGGTTTTACTAGACACATAGATACCTGACAAAATCACAATGTTGCTATAACCTATAGGTTACCATGAAGTTAACTACTCTCTACCTTCTAAAAACATTTGAATCGAACAGCGAGCGGTAATATTTTCCTCTAAACATCATTGCACCAAGAAAAACTAAATAAGCGGCCGAAATCGAAGAAAAAACTGGTTTTCGATTAGCAAGGATTGTATCAACATATCTTCTCAACAGCCATATGATTTCATGGTTTTAGTTCATTCATAACATTCTTCAGCCAAAAAACCCAAATTGAAAGCAACCTAATTACAAATGCATTGAAAAGGTGGAACCCCTTTAGTTTCCTGGTGAAAATTTATCAAAAAACAAAAAAAAAAGTTAGCGTTTGCAGGAGAACCGATGATGGATTTTTCTATTTTTTTACCGCCAATCGAGCAGTGGTGACTTGTAAGTTGGAAGATTGGAGACTCCACAGTCTGGGACTTGAAATATCGTACGGACGGTGGGGAATCCGGCATCGGCTGTGGCGGTTTCCACTATTAACTACATTGCTAAAGATGGAGAATTGGTACAAAGGAGGGAAAGAATTGATAGAGAGAAACAAAAGAGATTGTATTGATTGATTAGAGAAAATGTATACAAATGAACTTAATGAAATGATAGCTATACAATCTTTTATATAACCATATAACCTAATTACAATAATACCCCTCTAACTATATTTATGTTATATCAGTTATTACTCCCCCCTCAAACTAAACTTGGAGTGTCCAAATGAAGTTTGAACTAGCCAGGTATTTGAGACTGATCTGCAATTACTAGTCTCCAACTGTCTGCCCAATTTCGTGGCTGCTCCCAGTGCCTGTAACATCACCAACATCATCTAAAGTCTCGCTCTCAAGATGTAAAATGTCATCCTTGCGCACTGTAACCATCCTGGACAACAAAGCAGTGAACTTGCTTAGTAGAGTCCAAATTAGCACTAAATCCATTAGAATTGTCGTTTCTTTAAGCAGAACCCACTACAAGCTCCCCAACAGGTAAATCAATGAGCTTAGCAGTACAATCAAATTTGGTCTTGGTCTGAACGTACCCAACAAGTTGTCGACTGTGAACTGAGAAGCCATAGTAACACACTCACTGTATATGCAAATTATCCCTCCTAAATCTTGACAGAAACTGGCACCAAATCAACTCTGGAGAATGACACTCCAAGAAACTAAATCTACCAAGGAGAATGACACTCTAAGATCTTCCGAACACCAAAATTAACCAAATCAACTAAGGAGAATGACACTCCAGGAAACTAAATCTACCAAGGAGAATGACACTCCAAGAAACTAAATCTACCAAGGAGAATGACACTCCTGAAATCTTCCGAACACCAAAATTAACCAAGGAGAATGACACTCCATATCAACTGAATGACTCCACATATCAACAATTTGCATAGGCAAGAAACATATATGGCTTTGTATCTCAACAATATTCCAAACACTTCAACACTTTTCAACAACTACAGAGACTGGAAATGACCTGATTTCACGATTGTCTGCTATGATTGCTGAAAGGTTGGGCAGCGATGAGTGCACACCACAATCGACAACATCTGGGCTATTCATGTATTCTGTTAACCTTGCATCGAGCGAGGGCGTATTGGTTCACGGAGTCAAAGTTAACCAGCAAAGAGGAAAAAATCTCCAACACCGACAAACACCACCATCTCGAATCTTCAAGAATTACATTATCAAACCAAAAAAAAAAAAAAAAACAACTCCTTCTTCAATTACCAAACCCCCCAGATCACAGATATAGAATTGCAGAAATTCGCAGCTCCACCAGATCATCAAAGTAATAGAATAGAGAACGGAACATGGATCAAATAACACCAGAGAAGCACAGAGAGCTGATATGCAAACTACACCAAGAATGTAGAGCAGATATCACCTGAGAAGATCCCATATCACAAGGCAGACACAACAGAGAATCAAGAAACTGACAACATCCCAAATCTGCAAGAGCTTTCCACACCAGAGAAGGGAACACGGAGCAATGACAAATATAGAACTCAGAGAGCTAATCTGCGAACACTACTAAGAAGAAAGAAATAAACCAATAATCTTGAAATCACTCTTTGACATTTCGTCAAACAAATAATGTGCAAGAATGCACTTGCCAATTGAGGATGACATTTGAAGAATTGGTGATGTCAAATTTGAGGAGGACATAACTTCACATGAAAATTCTGAGCTGGGCAATATGTCAAACACCTGGACTGCAGCGAACAAGAAGCATACGATTTTGGGAAACACCAAGAAGTCGAGAATCCGACCCATACAACTCTAGCTCCGACTAAATCCTTGTTGTCACCGACCAAAACCCACCTGACTGGTACACTGTTCTTCAAATATCCCGACCCAGATTCGCAAACCCAACTGTCATCCGGACCCAGTTGAAATCGACGAGGTCAGTGACGATGTTTTTCAGGGTGGTGATCATAGAGTCGCCTGGAACACGTTGGTGGCACCAAGGATCTCCAAAAGAACGCTCCTTCTCAGTCGATTCCCATCCACAAAAACTAAGTAAGAAAGTGATTATGTTTCTTTCTTCGATTCAGGGATCAGAGAGAAGAATGAAACACCAAAGAACTTAGACAAAAAATTCAAGAAAATCTGAAGAGAAAATAAAACTCGAAAACAAAATCGAAAAAAAAAAAAAAAACTTAATGAAATGATAGCTATACAATCTCTTATATAACTATATAACTTAATTATAATAATACCCCTCTAACTATATTTCTGTTATATCAGTTATTATCCACAGCCACTTCAACGCCGGTGACATTTGTATATCACGGCGGATTTATAGGGTTTGATGATTTCGACTACAGCAGCACCCGGCAGGGCTCTAACAACAACTGCCTTGTGCTGGTGCAGCTTGGTTTCCGACGGCGGCTGACTTTTCCCGGAAATCGCATGTAACGCTGTCGTTTTAAAAATTTGAAATCGCGCCAGGTATTTTACCGGTGAAGACTAACGAGAGACGAGATGTTTTTATTGTCTCTCTATAGCCTTCGCTGCTGTCAGCTGTGAAGGAAACGGTGCGGTTTGAGTACCAATTCAATTCCTTTTTGATCGGGTTTTTTTCTAAAAGAACTTTGACGGGTTTAAATGATTAAAGCAAATCAGATTGGATCGGATGGCAACTTGCTCGTGATGGCCCAATTCAATCCAATAGGTTTTATGTTTTGGGGTTTTAAGCATGTGACAAAATTTAAACACGACATATTGCAGGATTGGAACCATATTTTCTAAGCAAAACAAATAAAAATTACTTAAAAACTGAGTTGTAACAATAAGAATAAAATAAAGGGTAGAGTGAATAACACCATAATTGACTTTTTAATGTAAAAATATGATTTTTCGTTAAAATGAACAGTACCGGAAGCTTTTCGTTAAAATTCCCAATTTTCTAATGTCGATACGTCTCTCTATTAGCCGTACATAAGAGTGACACGCTGCTGTCAATTTGTTAATACATATTTGTTGGTTATAACAGTTTTAGTACAGACACAAGTATAACAACGACTGATGATGATGTGATGATAGCGGAAATAGAGACTGTTTTAACTCTTTCTTACACAAAGCATCCGCTTTTGGATTCAGAATCCTCCGGCGATGAGTTGAAGGGCTTGAGACAAAACAATCTTGATGTACATCGAAAGATCGAGCAACGATTATTGGAAATTCAACAAGAATTTGCAGCAGCCTTACAGGGACGAGAAGCAGTTACTGCACAACAAGAACAAAGCTTTCTTCAATGCCAGGAATCTTCAGCCCCACATGCCCAACAACCTGCTGCCCTACATGCCCATGAAGCCATTGCAGCGTGACAAGGCATGCCCCAACAGCCACAAGAACGAGGCCTAGGTTCGCACTATGGAATTCACAACTCTGTCTTTAGTGATCTCCCACCATTCGCAAGCTTCCTGCACTTGAAACAATTTCAAAATCTGGCAGGCTCATATGCTGCCCTGCAAACCCACGAAGCCATTGCTGGGGCGCATGGATCGTTGGATGGAGTTAGCAGCAATGTCCCTCATGATCTCCCACCAACAGCAACTGGGCCAAGCCTCAAACATTCGATTCAATTTCAAGAACCTGCAGCACCACAAGCCCTGAAATCCCAACAAACCATTGCTGCTGCACACAAAAAACCAAAACTGGAACCGCCATCTTATTATGAATTTGACAGCTGCGTCCCCCGAAGCAAGCCCACCAGTCCCAAACATCCAACACCCGATTCAAATACGCAGAAAGCCTTTTGAGAAGCAGTTGGCACATGGCGATGTGACACAAGACATACTAAGGCTGAAGAATTATGACGCAGAAAGGCATGTCTTGCAGTCGTTGAAACCATATGAAGATCCTAAACAAGGCATCATGACCAGAATGTATGACATAGATGGTAATGAGTACGATCTGATGTTGCCAGTTTTTAGACCCCCGGAAAAAGATAAAGCCGGAGTTGTTGAGGCATGAACCGCTGCATGAGAAGGTCTACAAAGTCAATGACATTTCTTTCGATTCGATCAAGTTGTATGCAAGAAGTTAAACTGTTCCTGGAAGTTTACATAATTTGGCAACGTACAAATCATAATCTCCAACTTTGTGAATCCATTTATGAAAATGCTAGGTCTACAACAGTTGGTAAAATAAACGTAATGAAGTAGCCAATAGGACTGATTTTAACAAATCGAACAAAACTTATGCAGATACATTATTCGAACTCAAAGAAAGATAACTAAAGCAGCTATATCATTGAATGCTTTCCAAAAATGAATGCTTTGCATCATGAAGATCCCCAATAGTCTTCTAATAGACTAGGTAAACTGCACTTCCACTGTGATGAATCACTACTTTGCTACTCTACATTTTGACAATCCTTGCTACCCGAGCCTTGAATTTCTTCACGCTTCTCTCCTCCTAGAGAGTCACCAAAAGAAAATGCACACCGTTAGGTATTGAAGTTGCATAACCACAACAAACCAGAAAAGAGTGCGGTAACGTGCAAGGATAACAAGTGCTGTCAAAAGCCATTTCCTGAAACCATTGACAAGTAATTTGGCTGCTTAGATGACATTATTGTGCGCTTATGTGTGTGCTGCAAAACTGCGTGTGTAGCCGTATGCACGTTTGGACGCGCTACAATTGGGCAACCAATATCACTCTACACTAAAATACATATAGATCTTGTATATTTGTGCCCATTAATCATTTAATAAGCCACTTCCAATGATGTATGACCTAACAAACCACTCACTCAAATTATTTTCCAAGGTAAGCACAGATTTTCCTACTAATTCTTCCATGACATTCTCCAGCTCCCCAACAAAGTCATGATATAAAGCCCCAGATACTAAGGAAATCTATTTACTATTTAGAGACTGGATGAAAACGGGATTCGGGACACGACTTGAAACTCATAGTGCTTATATAGCATCCTTCAAGTCTCGGTAACCTTTACAAAGGAACAATAAATAGCCTAAGACTAGCTGAGAGGTTTCATAACTTTCATTAATGTGCAAAATCAAGCAAGCAGCTTTGTTAAGCCCCATTGACAAATTCATCATTTCCCGCATTTTTGTTAATCATACTACGAAAACTGGAATTGTAAACCAGCATACTACGAAAACTTTCTTGGGTTTAACGATACCCGAAAAACAATGAAAAGCTCAAAAAGGGTATATATCTCCTAATGCCAAACTACAATGCACACCACACATTCAAATTCAAAATCACAAAACGCAGGAACAGAAATGCAGAAATTACCTCACTCCATAGAAACTTTGGCACCAACTTCCTTCATCTTGGCAACAATCGATTCGGCCTCCTCCTTCGTAACCCCCTTCTTCAACAGCGTAGGTGCCTTCTCCACCAAGTCCTTGGCCTCCTTCAGACCCAAATCCGTAAACGTCCTCACCTCCTTAATCACCTTGATCTTTGCCGCAGCATCGAAGGAATCGAGCTTTACATCAAACACCAACTTTTCGGCCTTCTCCTCGCTTTTGGCCGCCGCCGCTCCGCCCTTGCCGGCCCCTCTCAACCCGCCGAATCCCATCCCGGGCATCATCATCACCATCGCCGGCATCTCCTTCACGCCCAATTTCTCCCTCAGAACCTCCGTGAGGTCCGAGACTTCGAGCAAGGTGAGGCCCGAGATCTCGTCCGCGATCGCCGATACCGCCCCAGACGGCGGCGGCCTTTGTTCCGGTGCAGCGGTGGTGTAATTGCACAGTACATGAGAGAAAATCTGGGGCTTCGATTGGAGAGATGAAATGGGATTAGGATTTTGGGGGTTTAGGGTTTTTTGAATGCGGGAAAAACGTGGGGAAATGAATCGTAAATATCTCATTTTGTAGGGACCGGGAGTGTAATTTTAGGGAATTTGAGGAAGTTATCTGAGCATGGCGGTTGTGGGAGGAGCATAGAATTTCAGAAGGTTGGAGCGTCCATGGCCTTGAAGCTCTGAGAAGAGTGAGAGAGTTACTGTTATGGCGCGAGTGGGAGTGACCCGCAGAAGGCTTAAACCCTACGGGACGAAGGCTTAAGTTTGAGCTTTGTGAAGTAAAAGTCGATTATGAGCCCAAAGTCTTTAGGCCCAAAAACATGACGTTCTTGTTTGTACAAGATGTCTGGTTCTTTATTAAATGAACGACTGTTAAAGTGGTTTTCAAATAGGGGTGTAATTTTTTGCCAAATTATCATATCAACCGAATTACCAACGGTACCATATTAAAGTTGTGTCAAAAAATTTGTACCATTGGTAATGGTACGGTATTTGTATCGTACCATACATTTTCGGTACAGTAATGATATTCAAAATCATTACCAGTGATATACCGTACCGTACCACTACTATTAATATTATATCATTTATTTATTCATTTATATATAATTAGGTATTATTATCATTATATATGCACTTTATAATGCTCAATTGATCAACAAATTGGAGGAAAAGGGAAAAAGGAAAGAATGCTTTATGTTTTTCGCATCTTCTTCCAAGAAAGAACGGTGTCGGTAAAAAAGAAAGGGTCAAAAAGGGAAAAAAGGAAAGAATGCTTTATATTTTTCGCATCTTCTTCTAAGAAAGAAATGCTCAAATTTCACTTTGTAAAATGGGCTAAAATGCACACTCACACTAGTGTGGTTTGGAAAATTATAAGGCCCAGGCCCACAACCATTCACTATTCGAAAAGAGAGGGTCAAAAAGGGAAAAAAGAGAAAGAATGCTTTATGTTTTTCGCATCTTCTTCCAAGAAAGAATTGCACCGGCCGAAGAGATGCTCAAATTTCACTTTGTAGAATGTGCTAAAATGCACACTCACACTAGTGTGGATTGGAAAATTATAAGGCTCAGGCCCACGACCATTCACTATTCAAAAAGAGAGGGTCAAAAAGGGAAAAAACAAAGGAAAGAATGCTTTATGTTTTTCGCATCTTCTTCCAAGAAAGAACTGCGCCGGCCGAAGAGATGCTCAAATTTCACTTTGTAGAATGAGCTAAAATGCACATTCACACTAGTGTGGTTTGGAAAATTATAAGGCCTAGGCCCACGACCATTCACTATTCGACTGTCATTCTCTCATTTACTCTTAATAAATTTGGACAAGACATATAATGTTACGTTTATCACGTGTTTTTACTATTATTTGTATTCTCTTTAATAAAAGTAGGACTCGCCAACGCATGTGAATCATTTTCTATTAGAAAAATGATACAAATTATAGTATAAATAACTGGTAAAAGTAACCTTTTTGTTTAAGATGATGCTTTCATACGTAATTTCTTATGCCTAATTTTTAAAGGAAAACTAATGAAAAGTCCTAAAAAACTAGGCACAAGTACTCAAGTTATAGTTTTAATGAAAATGACAAAATGAAGATGTAAGTGAACAGTACTAGGAGTAACTTTGCAAAGTAAAAATGTCCTTAACGTTAAGAGTGAACAGTACCATAAGTGTTTCGTTAAGATTCCCAATTTTTAAACTACCTATCATATTGTAGTAAATTTAAAATTTGGTACCAAATTATAATTTTATTACAGAGATTGTTTTTCTTGTTGTTCAAATTTCGAATGGGGGTGGTGATGGAGAAAGAAGTGGATACGAGAGTGGTTAGGGGTGGATTTTTTGCCAAATTACCATACCAAAGTTGTGCCAAAAAAATTTGTACCATTGGTAATGGTATGGTATTTGTACCGTACCATACATTTTCAGTACGGTAATGGTATTCAAAACCATTACCAGTGATATACCATACCGTACCACTACTATTAATATTATACCATTTATTTATTCATATATATATATATATACATATAATTAGATATTATTATCATTATAATGCACTTTATATTTTTTTTCCTAGTAATTTATCCAATCATCTCACCCTCTAACATCTACTTTCCCAATAAAAAAACATAAGCCTTCTTGAGTTGTGACTCTTCATTTTTCACTCATCTAGCCATCGGCTTCATCTATGTTGCTCCCGTTCCGACAACTCTTTCTCTCTTCGCTGTCCATCTCATCTTCTCCTTCATCAAATTGGGATGTCTTTCTCTCTGGCTTCGTCTATCAAGTTAATTTTTGTACAATTTTAAAGAATGTAGAGATGAAATTTATGAATCTTTGTACTATTTTTTTTAGGGATGTTGGGTTCTTTTGGCAATTCTTTCATCTATTTACCTCTTGTTTCTTAAATGAATATTTATAAAATTCTCATAATTAAATAAAAAAGTTTTAGAAACCCAAAAAGAGTGGCCAAAGCACATTTGGGCCTTGAATTGGGTTGAAGAAAAAAAAAATCTAATTTTGGCCTAAAAGAATGGTCCAAAACAAAGTGGTCATTACCATTACCATTACCATACAATGCTAACCGAACTATTTGGCATGCTGAAATTTGGTATACTGAAAGTTTGGCATGGTAATGGTAATAGATTTTGTCATACCAAAAGTTTAGTATGGTAATTGGTACATGGGTTTTGGTACGATAATCGTACCAATACCACTCCTATTTTCAAGTTCTTTACATTAGTTTTCCTGATTTGGTAATTTTAACGAAAGGCTTCCGATACTGTTAACTTTAACGAAAAATCACATTTTTTCACTAAAAAGTCAATTATGATACTATTTACTTTATCCTTTATTTTGTCCTTATCGATAAAACTCAAAATTTTCAAATTATTTTCATTAGTTTTCCTGATTTTAAATAAGCAGTGGATTAATTTTTCTTATTTTAAAAACAAATGATCAATTGGTGGCTTCGTCACGGCAGTCCACTTTTCTGGGTGCCGGGGAAGACTCACAAAGATATTTTAAGCTCCCTATAACCACAATAGTGCAATTCACTAATGCCAGAAATCGACGTATTATCTATACAAAAATTATACTTTTTTTAATTAATAAATTGCAGACGTTCAACACAAAAAACTTTGTAATTCACTTTCTACTTTACAATGATTCAAAACATACCAATACTAACCCTCAAAATGCATGCTTGAAAGTTTGGTCAAAGAAAAATGTTGGTCTGAATACCTAATTTTATACAATTGTGTCTATTATAATGTAGTATTTAATTGTCACGTTGATGAGTAGATATATAGTTATAGAAAACCGAACAAAATAAAGTTACTCGTGATAATATCATGTTCACATCCTAATCTTGCATAGTCAAGCACTATGGCAATGCTTATTCATTTATGTTTTTATAAAGTATACTAACTAGAGGTATGTAGTACGCATAATATTAATGTGTTTCAAATATCCGACCAAACTTTTTCTCTTTTCTTTTTGTTTGGGCATTTTTATGAAATTATGCAGTGCATTAAATTGTTTAATGTGAGTTTTTATCTTAAAATCTTAATCGACCTCAAGCCTCATGCCTATCAATTCTTTAGTCCTAACTCATGAATCTCATTAGATGCGATTTTTCTTGAGTACCTATAGGCATTTAATGTTGATACATATTTGATCGCTAAATTTGATCTAATTGCATAAAATAAGTGTTCAAAGACTTTTTTTTTTAACATAACGATAAAGTGTTCCATTACTAAGAACAACACGTACAAGAGGTGTTAGAGGAGTACATATTCTCTAATGACCAATTTCATGATTCAGAAATGATTCGTACAAAACACCTATAATTTTAAACCCCTATTGGTTTCCATAATAGACCACTAGGACTAAGAGTGTCTCGAAGTAGATTTGTCACAAAAAACAAAAGACACGACAAACCAAGCATCGAGACCCTCATAAAAACCATCGTAAACAGCGAGGCCACAATAGATCGCCTAGACAACACAAACCCGATCTAAACGGTACAAATATGAAACATAAAAACTAAACTAAGTTACTAAGCTAAAGTCGCTGACATATCTATGGACTCAACCACGGGGTACGTGTTTCTCGAATAATAAAAACCTCTTATGATTCTGCGTTGCTTGCTGCATTTAGAATAGCCTCTCATTCTGAACCTTCGTCATTCTTTGAGGAAGGAATTGCTGACGATTCCGACCAGCTCTGTAATTCGAGGTTGGCTTAGATCTTTCTGCCATTTTGGGGAACATCTTGGCCTTAACTTTCTACTTGAGTTGGTTCAGTTCGCTGGTTTGCCAAAGGCTGACCAATGAACCAGGGTCTAATAGGATGCGATTGACCTTGTGATTGTAAATCTCCTTGTTAGGACGATTGTGTTCTATCATTGATCAGAGATTTCTCTATGAACAATACGAATTAGAGTTTGAAGAAGGCGAAGAATCCTCGACTTGCAACGGATAGAGGGGGATTTATTCAATTACATAGTTTGGCTCCTAGAATATGGGAGGCAAGTGAAGTTGATGAGTTGTATGATGGGCAACTATCTCATGCAGTTTGGACAGTCAGCTATTAGTTAGAACCCCCTTGTTTCGAGGTGAACCCTTTCACTTTATTTTATTATATAAGCTTAGCGAAAATAATGTTTTTTTAGTACGCCTAAGAGATGGATTCTGTAACATCCCACATCGCCCAGGGAGTGGATCCAGTAAGCCTTATATGTATATTCTCATTTCTACCTAGCATGAGGCCTTTTGGGAGCTCACTGGCTTCGGGTTCCATCGGAATTCCGGAGTTAAGTAAGTTCGCGCGAGAGTATTCCCAGGATAGGTGACTCATTTGGAAGTTCTCGTGTGAGTTCCTAAAAACAAAATCGTGAGGGCGTGGTTGGGGCCTAAAGTGGATAATATCATGCTACGGCGGAGTCGAGCCCGGGATGTGGTGGGGGCCTAGGTCGGGATGTGACAATTTGGTATCAAAGCCAATCCATGGCCGGAAATATGCCGACGAGGACGTCGGGCCCCTAAGAGCAGTTCCACTGGAGGTGGAATAGCTTGGCACTTAGTGGAAAAAACAAGCTGGGACTCAGCCAATTCACTCCAGCCCGTGGAATAGACTGGCACCCAGCCCAAGCCAGTCCATAGGCCAGCCTAAAATCGACAGAGGAAGGAGACGGGTCATTTGACGCCATGTTGACGTCATGGCTACCGTCTCTCTCATCCGG